CTCACTCCGTCTGCGTCCACACGCCCATGGCTGCTCCTACACGTGGTTTGTATGTTCTCGCACTACTGTCAATCCACATATTCACTTTTGCGTGCGATTGCGCACAACCTGTGGCTACAAGGACAATGACAAGGACCAGGACAAGCGCCGATGTACGCCCCTGGGGGCGGCCCTCTAAGAGCTCGGCGGGAACGCCAGAACGTCGAAACTCAGATGTCATAATACATGATTGCTTTACAAGCCAGAATGTACATCATTGGCTCCACTGGTATGGCCTTCCCCCTAACATTGAACACGGGGGGTTATGCAACGAAGGGGCACTCTTGCCTAACTTTACGATACGACCCATCACCTGCGGCTTCAACGTCATTGGAATATCGTGCAACATCGTGCGCGTGCAGTTAGCAACGTTGATGAGTGCGTGTGTTGGGTTTGTATGTGGCGTACCTCCTCAGAACGCAATGCACACTCTCATGAAATTCGCCGGCCCAACGGGCCAGAGGCGTGCTAAGATCTCCGGTAACTGCTAAATAATACTTCTACTTCGCGCGCGCGGGGCGGCCCCTGGGGGTCCCCGGACGAAAAGTACCCCGGGCGATCCCCGGCAGACTCGGGTCAGAGATGGTTTTCCTCCTGGGCGCCGCCCCCGTGGCCCTCCAGAGAGCCCCAAGAAGGGCCACGAGGCCGCCAAGAGCCCTCCAAGATGGTTCAAGAGTGCTCCGAGATGCCACACGATCGTTCCAAGACGCCCAAGATGGCCCCCAGACGCCCCAAGAGGCCTCCAAGAGCACTCCCCAGAGGGCCCCAAGAGGCAAAATTCATTACTTTTCCTTAGGTTTTGGGCAGATTTTGGCGTGTCCATCTTTTCGGCTTCCCGACGCCCCAAGACGGCCCAAGAGGCCCCCAAGATCGCCCCAAGAGGGCCCAAGAAGCTCCCAAGAAGGCCCCAAGATGGCCCAAGAGGGCTCCAAGACGGCCCCAGAGGCATCCAAGACGGCCCAAGAGGGGCCCAAGAGGGCCCCAAGCGATGCCCCAAAGGGGGAACACAAAACAAAACTTCGAGCCCTCGGCCTTAAGAAGCCCCCAGGAGGCCTCAAGAGGCCCCTGAGAGGCTCCAAAAGCCCCCAAGAGGCCCTCAGGAGGCCCCCAAGCGACGCTGAAGAGGCCCCCCAGCGGCCCCAAGAGGCTCAGTCATGCGAAATGGGCCGGCGGAATGAGCGAAGCGATTCAATATGGTCGTGCCTTCTGAGTGCGACAGAACGAAAGGACACGCAGTCCCCTGATCGCGTTTCGATCTCCTGCTACTCCCTCATCTCTCCTACAATCTCACCCTCTCTCCTCACTTCACATACTCCACGCTTACCTCCTCCCTCCTTGCTCCTTCCTCGTTCTCCTCCTCGCACCCATCGTTACAGCAGGCCGTCAGTGCTTTCCGATCTGGCCTGGCAGAAAAGGACCAGCTGGGACATCCCTGGCCCTCGTTCTTCCCCTCTTCTTTGTCTTCTTTTCCGTATTTGTTCTTCTCCCTCCTCCTCCTCCTCCTCCCCCTCCTCATCCTCCTATTCCTCCTGCTATTCCTCCTCTTATTCCTCCTCCTATTCCTCCTTCTCCTCCTTCTCCTCCTCCTCCTCTTTCGCCTCCTCATCCTTCTCCTCCTCCTCCTCCTCGTCCTCCTCCTCCTCCTCCCCATCCTCCTCCTCCTCCTCCCCATCCTCCTCCTCCTCCTCCTCCAGCTCCGCCTCCTCCTCCTCCGCCTCCTCTTCCTCCTCCTCCTCCTCCTCCTCCTCCTCCTCACTCCACCGCCCGCCCCATGTTCCGAACCTGTGGCAGGCTCATCAGCTCGTCGTTGCCGTTCTCATCGTCGTCGTCGTCGTCGTCATTTCGGATCGGCGCCGCCGGCTCCAAGGCCTTCACAATGAGAATCAACCGATGATCGACGCACAGACCGATGCCGTGCCACGTCCGACCGACCTCCCGCTCCTCCCTGCGGTGCGCGGCCGCTCCCGCCCGCCTTGTACTGCGCCTTGATGAGCCCCAGGGTGGCCCGCGACTGCAGCGCCTGGGGCTGCGCCCTGGCGGCTGTCCTGCGGCCCACCCGCTCGGGCGTTGCTTCGTGGCGTGCGGGGCGAAGAAGCCTGCACCTTCCGTTGTGCCGCTGTGCCCCATGGGGGGCCTTCTGGGGCACAGGACGGTCGGGCCTGGGACAGAAGAGCATCCTTCAAGGACGCGAGACCCTCCGCCGACCAAACCGAAGAACGCCCGAGAGCACCCCCACCCAGGATGCACAAGAGCGTCCAACAAGCACGGAGAACAACAGGGTACCCTCCCCGAACCGACCTCGATCTTGTACCTCAGTCCGACCGTACGCAGCAACGCCCGACCCGCGGGCGCTCTCGGGCTTCCGCATCGAGGACCGACAAGCGTCCCAGGGCGCCATCTGGCGCTCCTCGGGCCTGCGGGGACCTCACGGGGGACTTCCGGATACGTCTCGGGGCCCCGACCGAGGAGTCGCGGGTTGGGCGTCGCGTCATAGGGGGCGATGAGTGGGGGGGGGCAGTGAGGGCTGCAGAAAAGGGGCCCCAGAGAGCCCCTACAAAGGGCCTTTTAGGACCCAAGAGGGGGCCTTTCCGGCCCGAAAAATGCCCCTGTCTCCCCCCCCACCCCCCCTTGATCGCCACCCCCGATTAAGCGACGCCCGAGCGGGTCGGGGATCTACTGACCGGGGTCAATTCAAACCTGGGTCAGTCAGGACCTGCAAGATCCTGCAGGTCCGTGCAACCCTGGCGCTGCAGGATCCTGCAAGACTCCGTGTTCTGGTCGACCTCCACTTGCACTTTAGAGTCCCCCGTCTCCTGAGCCCCGAGCGGGGGCCTGCAGGAGCGCTCTGGGGCCCAGACCCCTGCCGACGCGGACGAGAAAACCGCCCGAGGTAGCTCGTCGCCATTGTTGCGGGGCCCACGCGCCCTTGCCAATTCCTGGGGCCGTGGGGACACGACTCGGGTTGACACGCCTGCCTGTACAATTACATCGGGGTGCTGTGCAAGCCGGCGCACACGCGCTAAGAGGTCGTAAACTCTCAAACTTCTGGGATGCTGCCTGAACATGTCCGAGTGCAGAAACGGAGGCCATCCATAAGACATGCAAAACTTGCAGTTCTGATGTTGCCCATATTTTTTTGGCACCAACATCGTAACATGTCCTGGAGCTGACCTTGCATCGTCGAGACATTAGCATATTGAAGACTGGACAAGGAGCTAGACAGGGCGATTATACTGGATCCGATGTCTGCAAGACCTACAATAAAGATATACGAAAGGCAATCGATGCACGACCTCCTCGACCACACGCCAAATACCGTTACGAATGTCACGCATACGATCCTGGTTTGTGCCGCCTTATGAAACCATCCATGCACCCTCATTATACATATATACATATATAGACGCGCTCTGGTACCCGCGTTTGCCGAGATCGGCTGTCGACCCCGTTTGTCCAAGGAAGAAGTCGCACCCGCAAGGCACGGAACAAGGCCGATGCAACTATAGAAACGATCTCGGACGAAATGAACATTAAGGCGAGGATTGGTAAAAGATACGGCTCGTTATCCAGGGGATCGGATCCGCGGTTAGGAATCACAGAGCATGTGAAAAACATGTAGTGCGACGCACTTGTGCAACGATGCTATCATATGGTATTCATATCTTCGTTGCTGGTATTGCAAGCACGTAGCTGTACGTAACACTGTGACCGTGTTCAAGCTATGGGCACAACGGAGCCATGCGGCGCACTAGTTACTGTCTTGGCAAAGATGCGATCGCGGACCTGCGACGTCATAGGCTATAGTGGTGACAGTCCATGGCGAAACAACTGTCTCATCATCGTCTTGTACATGTCTCGATCTTTGGGACTTTTTTGGGAAAACGGCCCATCGTCCCACTGCCGATGTCTATCCTACAGTTGCTGCTCAACAATGCCTCAAACAGTTTGCAGACGATCTGAACAGAAGGATGGCCGTAGTTTTCAAGATGCCATGCCACTCGTATTTACGAGTCTCCCGCACTGGTAGAACATCTCGTCGTGTTTTGGCCTAGAAACTCCCCAAATCCAGCACCGCAATCAGCATAACCGCACTCCTGAGATTTGGTATTAGTGACCCTGACGAGCTTGTCATCGAAAATGTCGTTGGCATGCATTTCAGATGTGATTCATGCCATATGATTTGTCCAAACAATCAAACATAGTTCAGACATCCCATGAGCCTGGCAAATATCATGCCCCTGAGGAAGGACACATTAATTCTGGTCACCACAAAAACACAACTACCATCGCAAGAACTCTATTGAATTAGGTGGGATCTCTAGACTACAAGGTGCCCCCCAAGGCCATACACCGCAATAAACTACGTATTGGGGTGTCGTGGCATGCTGTTGCCCTTGGACAAACACTTGGAGGCCTTGCAGACCAACATTGCTGAGTTTCAGATACGTTTGAGTCTCAATCGTGAGGTGCTGGCATGCGCAGCTACCAAACATGTTGAAGCACGCATTGAGGTTCAGCTTTCACCCCGAGGGCGTCATGGCAGTTAGCTCTGGAGGCGTCAGGGGGAAAGGATTTCGAGTGCACCACCAAATGGTTGATTTTTCAGCGATGATGTGCGTGCTTTGAGGCCAGCCGTTCGGGCCGCTCGGGGGACGAGGGCGCCCGCTACGCGGCAGCTCGAGTGCTGCTGCACAGCCCCTGGCCAGAATCAACTTATGGATTTGATAGTGGTGTGTCACATTGCTTTTCGGCCATCCCGAAAGAATTCATACAACTCTCGTGTCGCTGGCGATGCGACGAACAACTAGTCTCGGCGAAGTGTCGAGACCTCCGGGTCAACGCTGCGAACACATCACGACGTCGGGGGTCTGGAATCGAGAATGGAGGGGTCTATGCTTCTGGAAGCCCCTGGTATCTTCACCTCCAGCCCCGAGGCGCCGCGGGACCTCAGCTCCCCGGGGGCCTCCTGCCATCAGTCCTGCGGCATTCGTGCCAGCCCTCCTCCTCCTCCTCCTCCTCCTCGTCGTCGTCGTCCTCGTCCTCGTCGTCGTCGTCGTCGTCGTCGTCGTCGTCGTCGTCGTCGTCGTCATCCTTTCCGAGCAGCGCGGGCGCCGCTGCAGACGCCGCCGCGGTGGTCCTCGCCGCTATCGCCGCCGCCATCGCCACCGCCGCCGACGCGGCCGCCGCAACCGCCGTCAACGTCGACGTTGCCGCCGCCACCGCCAGCGCTAAGTCGGGCGTGTCCCTCTACCGAAGGAATGCTCAAACATAGTAAAACCAATTGTCTGGGGAGACTGTATTTATGGTATCTTGTTTGGCAATTTCCCATACTCTTGGACTATTCTTTATTTTTTCGTCCAAAAACACTCCCTGTAGGAGGACGTGCCCGACCTGACGCCAGCCTCGGCGCTGTCGCCGCCCCTCGCCGCCGCCGCGCCTGTGGCCGGCCCTCCGCCCCCGCGCGGGGGCGGCGGCCGCGCGCCCGCCCGCGAAGAGCAGCGGCGCCGCGCCCCGCCGGGAAAGCGCCGCCCACGCGGCGAGCGCGGCGGCGAGCGCCGCGGCGAGGGCCCGGGGGCGCCCCCGCCGCGCCATGGGCGCTCCCCCCGTCGCCTGGGCGCCGCGCGCGCGGCGCGCGGAGCGATGGGGGCGTTGCTTCAGAGACGGGGTCCTGAGGCATGGGGGTCCCGAGGACGGAACGGGGATTTAGGGGTGGCCTCGCACGTGGTTTGAGGCACCACCTCGTCCTCAGGGCCCCATCCCTCAGGACTCCATTTTTGAAGCACCGAGAGGGGGCGGTGGGGGGGGGCGAGGGCGCGGCCCGTCGCGCCTAGCGCTGGAGCATCGGGGCGCCGCCGTCGCCGTCGCCGTCGTCGTCGACGTCGTCAAGAGAGAGAGAGAAAGAGAGAGAGAGGCAGAAAGAGAGAGAGAGAGAGAGAGGAGCAGGGGGATCGATGGAGCCACCTCTCCCTCCCCCTCCCCTCTCCTCATCCCTCCTCCTCCTCCTCCTCCTCCTCCTCCAACTCGCCCTCCTCCCTCCTCCCTCCTTTCCTCCCTCCTCCTCCTCCTCCTCCTCCTCCTCCTCTTTCTCCTGCTCCTTCTCCTCCGTATTATCCCTCTCGGTACTCCCCTTCTTCCTTGTCCCTCTCAACAACCCTCCGGGATAACTGTGGATGCCTTGACCTTTGAAGACCCCGTAAACCTCCTCCGACCCGCCCTCGCTCCTGCAGTCGCCTCCAGAAACCTCCGACAACATCCACCCTCATCCTCCTGCATCCCCTCCTCCCCCTCTGCTCCTCCCAACTGAGCCCCCAGCTTACTGTCGGTGCATCGCGCCTCTGCGGCACACCAGGCTCCTACTCCTATGCGGGGAGACAACGTCCTACAAACCCCCTCCACGGGGCCCAGTGACGGCTCCGGCCGAAACAAGCTAAAAAGCCTCCGTCGTGGTTTCTTTCGCGACGCGAAGGGGTCTGGGAGCGTCCGCGAAACACTTAGGCCCCGCGAGAAGAAGACCGCCCGCGCAGGAGAACGCCCGGCGCCGCGAGGTCAGAGCTGCACTCGCCGGTCCACCGCGCCACCCCGCGGGTTGCCCATGACCTCGCCGCAGAGGAGAGGGGGGACGAAGGCAGGGGACATGGAGCCTAGGCGCCTAGGCTCAGGTCGGGCATGTCCTCCTACAGGCAGATTTTGAAGGACAAATTAAACCGTCACAACAAAATCAAGCATCATCAAATAAGCACGAACAACCGTCGCCAGACTATTTTTTAACGCTTCTGGAATTTTCCTCCTGTAGAGGGACATGCCCGACTTGCGCCTAGGCATCTGGCGGATTGCTTTTCCATCGCTGCGTGTTTCCTCGATTGCGGCCTCTGGGGCCTCATTTCGGTGGCTGGTGCCATCAGACATGTATCCGAGGTGGATGCTGCTCCCAGGAGGAAGGGGTCGGGAGCGCTGGGGCCGCGGATTGAAAACTACACATCGTCGGATGTGTGGGAGGATGCAAGTGTGCGATACCTGCGTGACCCTGAGGAGCCCTCATCGGCACGGCTGGGTCCGCCTCGAGATCCTGGCCAGCACGCGCTCAAGGACTCAGACCTGCGATATCGCCATTCTTGGAATGCGAGGGCCGCGGAACTCACTAAAACCCCTTCCCTGGACCGGCGGTGAGCGAGGGGGAACTGAGAAGGGGCGGGCCTTCTCAGAAGGCGCGACGGCTTCTGAGAAGTCCCGCCCCGCCCTCTGGGCAGGCCTTCGCCTTCTCACTTCCCCCCCTCGCTCGCCGCCGATTTTTGAATGCGAGGACGTCGGGACTCTCGAACCCGTTCCCAGGAGCTGGTCCCTCGTCCTGGAGAATCTTCTGACGGTGCCCAAAGGCAGCCCCACAGGAGCGGAAAGTCTGGCGAGCAAACGTGCTGCGCCTTGCCGATTGCCGGCAAGCTTTGCTGGAGACCCTGGTGGGCCTCGGGGGCCAACAAAAACCGACGCCAGGAATATATTGCTCCCATCGTACTTGAGGACCGCATCCCAGAAATTACTTCGAGCACCCAGGGCCCGACACGTGGAAACTATCAAGTTTCGGCACTCTCCTGGCGATCGAAACCATCAAAAAGAAGTTGAGACATCATAGCGCCAGGACCCCTCCTGGCCAACATGTCGAGGGAGGCCCGGGAGGCGCATCCAGGGAGGCTCCACTCTCGGGCCGGACAGAGGGGGGGATAGCAAAGGGGGGGGGTTTGAGAATGAGCTCGCGCAACTGATTTCCCCGGCGCCTCCCGGCGCCGGAGGCGCCCATGCTTCGAGGAATGGGCCCGGCGGCGGGGCCGAAGCCAGCTGCATGCGGCAGGTGTCGTAACCCCCCCCTCTCTCCCCTATCCCCCCCCGCGCTCGCCCGGCCCGACGCCAACGAGCGCTCCGAGAGCTCGACCCCCTCGGGGGCGTCCACGAGGGGGGGCGCCCGAGGCCCGGCCGCGGCGACGAGAAGCCCCCCTGAGGCCCGACGAACGCTCCGGGACCTCGGGGCTCGGGGACCTCCAGGATCAGGTCGGGCACGTCCCCCCACAGGCCGATGCTCGAGGAAAAATAAAATTAGGTCGGGCATGTCCCCCGACAAGCCGATCTTCGACGGAAAAGAACCAGTTTCCCAAACATCTGCAAAGATAGTTGGAACATGCTAGAAAAATCGCCCCTGGACTATGTTTTTCACTATTTTTGCATATTCCTGGAGGGGGGGTGTCGCGAGGGTGGCGAATCATGGCCCGAGGCACGTGCGCGGCCCGAGGGGGGCCACAGGACGCACAGGAAACCAGAGAAGAGGCCACGAGCCCCAGGGAGCCACCAACATCATGGCCCCGCTACGATATCCACACACGCACGCACGCACGCACGCACGCACGCACACGCACACGCACGCACACGCACGCACGCGCACGCACACGCACGCACACGCACGCACACGCACGCACACGCACGCACACCCACGCACGCGCACGCACGCGCACGCACGCACACGCACGCACACGCACGCACACGCACGCACACCCACGCACGCGCACGCACGCGCACGCACGCGCACGCACGCGCACGCACGCGCACGCACGCTCGCTCGCACGCACGCACGCACGCACGCACCCACGCACCCACACCCACACAGACACCCACCCACACACACACACACAATCACACACAATCACACACACAATCACAATCAATCACACACTTTTCCCTCGTGTGTCCCAACCTGCGCGGCGGGAAGTGGCAATCAAACTACCCCTGTCCGGAACCAGAAAGTGAAACAAGAAGGCTGCAGCTGGGACTCAGGGGTCCGGCCTACCCCTGCCGGCTGCAGAGAGAGAGAGAGAGAGAGATCAACGCGACGCGGCGCAACTACGGCACTGCTGGGCGGAACCTCATCGCCGACCGCCCGCGGTGCGGCGCCCAGGCCAGTCACGTAGCTCGCCGCCCGGCGCGGCCCACTCCCGGATGCCAGAGGAGGGCTGCTGCAAACTCCAGGCTGCTGGGGCTGGGCTGCACGTCCTCCGTCACCGCTGGGCTGCCAGGCGCGCCCAGCCTCCTGGCAAGCCTGACTGCGGCCAAAAGAGGGCGGGTCACCCACTCAGGGGGCGGTCGCGGCTGCCGACGGCGTGGTAGACCCTTGGCGCTGCCCGATGCGCTGGCGCTGCTGCAAGTGGTACTGCCGGGTGCGCAGGTGCGGCTGCGCGTGGCGCTATCGGCCCAGGTCGTGGTGGCCTGTGGTGCTGCACAGTACGCGGGAGCTGCATCGCATGGCGCCGCCACGAAGTGTCGTTCTTGGCATCAGAGCTGACGTATGCACTGGCATTGGAGCCTGCAGAAGCGCAAACGGTGATGTCAGCGCAGGCGCTGGCGCAGAAGCTGGCCTCGGTGCTGGCGTCGGGGGAAACGTCCGCGCTGCTGTGAGCGATGACCTCGGAGCTGGCGTAGGCGCCGGCGCTGGTGCCGGCCTGGGCGCAAACGTTGGGCCAGCACAGGCGCTGGCGTGGATGCTGACCTCGGTGCTGGCCTCCGTGTCGGCGTCCACGCTGCTGAAGGTGAGGAGGTCAGAGCGAACGTAGGCGCTGCCGCTGGTGCCGGCGGAGGAGCAGGAGTTGGTGCTGGCGAAGACGCTGGCGTCGGTGCTGGCCTCGGTTCTGGCGTCGTTACCCACGTCCGTGCTGAAGCCGCCGATGATGCTGGAGCTGACGTAGGCGCTGGCGCTGGTGTTGGCGTAGGCGCAGGCGTTGGTGCCAGCGCAGGCGATGGCATCGATGTTGGCGTCGGTGCCGGCGCACGCGCGGGCGTCTGTGTTGGCGACGGTGCTAGCGGCGGTGCTGGTGTAGGCGACGGCGTAGGTGCTGGCGTCGGTGATGACGTCGGTGCTGGTGAACGCACTGGCGGGGGTGCCAGCGCAGGCGCTCACGTTCGTGCCGGCGTCAGTGCTGGCGCCGGTGCTGAAAGAGTGCTGGCGTCGGTGATGATATCGGTACTGGTGGAGGCGCCCGCGTTCGTGCCGGCGCAGGCGCGGAAGTTCGTGCTGGCGTCGGTGCTGGCGTCGGCGCTGGCGCTGGTGCTGGCGCCATCGCAAGCGTTCCTGCCGGCGTCGGTGCTGGCATCGGTGCTGGTGCAGGCGTCGGCGCTGGTGCTGGCGTCAATGACGACGTCGGTAATCCTGTAAGCGCTGGCGCTGGTGCCGACGCTGGCGCCGGCGTGCGTGCTGACATCCGTGCTGGCGTCGGCGCTGGTGTAGGCGCTGCTGTTGGTGCCGGTGTCATCGCAGGCGTTCGTGCTGGTGCCAGTGCTGGCATCGGTGTAGGCGTCGGCGTTGCAGGTAAATGGCTTGCGCACCGGTTAGCTGGGCAGCTAACCGGTGCGCTGCGGCCTGGCGGCGGTGATGGTGTAGGCGTCTGGTGCAGGCGCTGGCGTCGGTGGCGGCGTAGGCGCAGTCGTTGGTGCTAGCGCCTGTGCGCACCGCTTAGCTGGGCCGCTAACCGGTTTGCTGCGGTCTGGTTGCGGTGCCGGAGTCGGCTCTCGCGTTGGTGCCTGCGCAGGCGACCGCGCTCGTGCTGGCGTCAGTGCTGGCGTCGACTCAGGTGTAGTCGCTGGCGTTGGTGCTGGCGCAAACTCAGGCGTTGGTGCTGGCGTCAGTGCTGGCGTCGGTGATGCCGCAAGCGCCGGCGTCTGTGCTGGCGTCGGTGCTGGCGACGGTGCTGGTGTAGGCGTCGGCGTTGGTGCTGGCGTCAGTGATGACATCGGTGCTGGTGTAGGCGCTGGCGTTGGTGCCAGCACAGGCGCAGGCGTTCCCGCTGGCGTCGGTGCTGGCGTCGGTGTTGATGGAGGCGTCGGCGTTGGTGCTGGCGTCAGGGATTCTATCAGTGCTGGTTTTGGGCAATGGCGTTTGGTGCCGGTGCAGGCGCGGAAGCTCGTGCTGGCGCCGGTGCTGGCGTCGGCGTAGGCGTTGGTGCTGCCACCATCTCAGGCGTTCATGCTGGCGTCGGTGCTGGCATCCGTGTTGATGTCAGCGATGGCATCGGAACTGGCAGGCGCCGGCGTTGGAGTCGGCGTAGGCGCAGACGCTGGCCCCGGCGGGGGCCGTAGGTGTTGGCGTTAGTGCTGGCCAGCGTCGGTACCGGCGTCCGTGCTGCTGGGAACGGTGACCACGGATCTGCCGTAGAGCTGGCGCTGCTGCCAGCGAAGGCGCAGGCGTTGGTGCCGGCGGAGGCGCAGGAGTCGGTGCTGGCCTCAGTGCTGGCGGCAATGGCGGTGTCCGTGCTGATGTCAGCAATCTCATCGGAGCCAGCATGGGCGCTGGCGTTGGTGATGGCGGAAAGGCGCAAGCGTTGGGGCAGGCGTAGGCGCTGGCGTCGGTGCTGGCCTCGGTGCTGGCGTCGTTGCCAGCGTCCGTACTGATGTCGGCGATGATGCCGCGCTGACGTAGGCACCAGCCCTGGGAGCGGCGGGGGGCGCAGGCGTTGGTGCCGGAGCAGGCGCTAGCGTCGGTGCTACCGATCACACTCAATCACACACACACAATCACACACACAATCACACACAATCACACACACAATCACACACAACCACACACACACAATCACACACAATCACACACAATCACACACACACGCACACACACACACACACCCTCGTCATCACCAGCCCCCAGGACGCCTCTGAGATCCTCGGTCCTTGGAACCTCCGACTAACAACAGCCGTCTAGACTCCCTCGTGGCGCTGGGGTCTGAGCGGAAACTCCACCCGATGCTCGTCGGGGGCTCCCCCTCGCCCCCCTACCGGAATTCTCCCCCGCTATGGGCACCGTCAGGGGCCGTGTCCTGAGCCGCGCCGACAGCCGGAACCCGGAACCTGCTCAGGAACACTGCCGACTGTCGAGCCGTGGCTGGCCGCGGCGACGAGGGGTCCCCGAAGGCAAACGGAAACGGTGGACAGGTCCCTGGAAGCTCGGGAAGAAGGTCTCCAGAGACCTCTCCGTTGCCTCTGGGAGGCCCAGACGCGCTCAAACGACCTCGATCCCAAGTCCTGTCCCCAGACATCCGACGATGCGATTGCCAACCAGCCTGTGGTGTGGGGTCCTCGTGTTGAATCATCACGGCCCCGCGTCTCCTCCTCCTCCTCTTCCTCCTCCTCCTCCTCCTTTCCTCTCCTCTCCTCTCCTCTTCTCTCCTCTTCTCTCCTGTCCTCTCCTCTCCTCTCCAGTTATACAAGATGAATGCTACTCTCCTCTCTCCCCCGAAGACGCCGGTGAGGTGTCCTGGCTCCCCGCGTAATGTTTTTTACACGCAGAATGCCGCCGAATTGAACATTATCATGTTTCCAATCCGAACGTTTGAACTCCTTTGAGAAAGGCGTTCCAACTGCAACGTTCCATTGTCCCGTTCTCACTCTTTCAAAATCATGTACCCGCTGTAGCGCTGACCTAATTTCATTGTTTCGTTTTTTTAATCGTGTTCCTGCTGCAGCGTTGGCTTCGGTTCCGCGCTTCCAACTCTTGCAAATCGCGTTCCCGCTGCAGTGCTGGTCTCATTTCCGCGGTTTCGGTCCTTCGAACTCGTGCTCCCGCTGCAAAGCTGATCTCATGTTGCACTTCCATTCTATTCCCCGTCCTGTGTCATGTTTGGTTTCCCTCGGACCTCGCTGTCGACATGAATCGTGGTCTCGACGCGACGACGTCGGCTGTGACCGTGCTCTTTTATGTCATGATATGCCATGCTAGACCACGAATCGAGTTTCTCTCGGGATCATTGCCCTGTTCGACATCCGACTGTGCGAATAGAGAGGAGAACTACGCAATGGTAAGGGACGGGAGGGAGGGGTAAGACGTCAGATATGACGCTTGCGCACTTGGTTTTCCTCTCCTGTCCTCTTTTCTCCTCTCCTCTCCTCTCCTCTTCTCCTCGCTCCTCCCCATCCCTGCCTCGCCCTCCGCATACACATGAGGGTACACCCCTTCACACGCGTCGTGGCCTCATAGTTAGGGAGCTCAGCCGAAGCCTGCAGGAGGGGGCTTTCGCATGCGGCTCCCTACAATTTTCGTCACACTCTCACACGCTTCGTGGCCTCATAGGGAGCTCCACCGAAGCCCGCAAGGGTGCATTCGCCGGCGGTTCCGCACCCATTTCGGTACACCCCTCTTACGCTTCGTGGCCCCACAAAAAGCTCCACCGAACCCCCCAGGTTGGGGGTTTCGCATGCGGTTCCCAAGGGATCCTGCAAGTACCTCACATGCTTCGTGGCCCCACAGGGAGCTCCACCAAAGTCACCAGGGAGGGCGGTTTTGCATGCGGTTCCCCACCCATTTTCGGCACACACCTAACACGCTTCGTAGCTATATGGGGAGCTTCACCGAAATCCCCCAAAGAGGGGTTTCGCATGCGTTTCCCCACCAATTTCGACACATCCCTCACACGTTTCGTGGCCCCTTGCAGATAGTCAAGGAAAGTTGGTACGATTTGCCTGAACTGGAAACGTGACTAAATCTGCCTGGACTGGAAGCGTGACTGAATAAACGCGCTGCAAGGGTATGAACCTCAAGAAAACGCCGGCGACGGCGAAGTCCAATGATCAGAGTGCGCGATGGCCAAACCGTCAGAACCTCGAGGAGCAGCTCGGCAAAGTTCCAGACGGAGCCGCCTGAGGAAAGTTCGGGAAGGGACCGCCGGAGTCAAGCTCTGGAAGGAGGGCCTGCGGCCTGCGTAAGATTCTAGAAGGCGCCTCCCCCCCCCGTCGCGCGTGCTCCGTGCCCCCGCGCAAATCCTTACAAGGGTGCGGTGGTCCGACAGGATCCGCGCCAGACGCGCCATCGTCCCACCACGCGGACCCGCCGCCCAAACCCATCGAATTCACATAGGATCCGCCCGGCAAACATCGGATCCGCATGGGACCCGTAGCGGATCCGTGCCCAGATCCGACGCTCGAGGCGAGGTTGACACCCCCGTACTCGAAATCCCTTGATAATTGACCCCCCCCTAAAAAACGGCCCCCCCCCCCTTCAACGGCAACCTGATTTTCTGGACCCCCCCTGTCAACGGGGAGCCTTCGTATTCCGGACCCCCCCCGTCTTCGGTTTGAAGCAACCGCCCAAACCCCCCCTGCTTCCAAACAAGACGCCTTATACAGCCGGACATGGGGGACGATTCTGATGGGATTTCGAATCTGCGGGGGCCCCCTGTCTTGCCATCGCTCGGACGTCCATGCCCCGTACATTTTTCGGTCTTGTGCGTGGTTTTTTGCTCGATGGTCCAGGATGCTCCTCGATCACCCTCGCCGAGAAACACGAAGCACACGTCCGAGCGATGCCAAGCTGCACTCGTTCTCGGGCGCCCGACGCTGCGCCCAGCGCCCGCGCCCCGCCGCCCCGCCCGGGTCGGGCGAAAGGGGGGGATAGCAGAGGGGGGGTCTGAGAATCAGCTCATGTGTGGCTGATTCTCCCGGCGCCTCCCGGCGCCGGAGGCGCCCATGCATCGAGGAATGGGCCCCTCGGTGGGACCGAGACCAGCTGCATGCAGCACATTTCGTAACCCCCCTTTCCCAATCCCCACTTTTCGTCGGGCCTCCTCCTCCTCCTCCTCCCTCCTCCTCCGCTTCCTCCTCCTCCTCCTCCTCCTCCTCGATCTCCTTCCCCCAGCCCCCCTCTCTCCCCAGGCTGGGCGGGCCGACGGCCCGGGCCCCGGCTGGACCCCGACAGCCCGGCGCCCCGTCGTGCGACTTGCAGCAGGGCCGGACCTGCCACGTTAACTGTCTAGCCACCTCTCGGACGTCCATTCCCCCGTGTTTTTTTTGTTCGGGCTTCGTGCGTGGCTTTTTCGCAGGACGATCCAGGATGCTCCTTGATAGTGCCCGCCGAGAAAAAAGTGCACACGTCCGAGCGATACCGAGTCATGGTTCGTTTCGTTCTGTGGTTCGTTGTGCTTTCCTGTGCCCTCCTGCCAGAACGGAGCGCAGAACACAGCCGAAGTCCAGCAAAACAGCGTTTAGGTCCAGCCCTGGTTTGGAACTTCGGGCCGACGTCTCAAATCGTCCCAACTTGCCTGACCGTGTGTAGAGAGCTACACCGAAACGCCCAGGAAGGTGGTGCCGCAGGCGATTCCCCATCCATTCTGGCACACCCCTCACACGTTCCGTGGCCCCTCAGGGGGCTCCACCAAAGGCCCCACGATTGCGGTTTCGGAAGCGAGTCCCCATCCATATAGGCACACCCCTCAGAGTACGTGGCCGCATAGGGAGCTTCACCGCAGGCCCCAGTTGCACAGTTCGCATGCGTCCCCAAGCCCGTTTCGGCACACCTCTCAACCGTCTCGTGGCCCCACAGCTGAGCTCCACTGAAGGCGATATCCGCAACCGCTGTGCCCACAGCAGCAGATGGTTGGGTTCTTCGCCAAGATCACTTTCTCAGCCCGCTGCCTCACCATCCCCCAGGACAGTTCCTCGTCCCGGAGAAACGTTTGTTGGCCTGAGAGCCCAGAATGGGACCCTGCAGAGGCATATCGTTGGCGTCCAAGAGGGGGGCGTCTAAAAGGGGGGGTGCAAATCGTGGCCGGCGGCATGTGCGCGGCCCAGGGGGGGGGGTCGGAGATGTATTGAAATAGAAAGAGGCGCCAGGGCGCGGGATTGAAATTCGTCGCGGGGTGCGCCAGTGTCCTGGTTGATCAGTGCCCCTGTTTGCCGAGACGTTCTTGGAAGACGACCCGAGTCCCGCTGCCCCGGCGATGCACGCGCGGGTACGCCGATTGAGCCCTACGCGCCGCCCCGCCATGAGATCATGGCCCCCGCAATGATGCCTCCCCCGAATCATCACCCCCCTCTTTGCCGCCCCCGAGCCTAACAGAGAGGCCTCCTAGATGGGGTCGGAGCAGATGGGGTCGGAGGAACTCGCCGCACTGCCGATGCATCGACGATGCATCGACGATGCATCGGCGATGCGGCGGCGACGTCGGCGAGGCATCGGCGCCATCGGCGTGGCGCAAATCGGCCTCCGCATCGAGCCCCATCGTGCGATGCCTGGGCGATGCGGCGCGAGGCTCCGAACCCATCTGCTCGGACCCCATCTGGGAGGCCCAGAGACTGGAGAACCACGCCGAGATCGAACCGCCCAGGCCGCTGGAAGGCCTGGGCGCTCCGCCCTCCCGAGCGGCAGCGCGAGGCAGCAGCGACGGCGGCGGCGGCGGCGCTCGGCGCGCCTCCCGCACCCTTCGGGCCAGCGGGGAGTCGCCCAGGTCGCAGGCCTCGCGCGGAGGTCGCCCCCGCCACCGCGGGAGCCGCCCGGGCAGTCGATAACCGCCGCCGTCGACGTGGTCCTCGCCGTCGTCGTCGGAATCGTCGTCGTGTTCACTTGTTCGTCGTGTTCGTCGTGGTCGTGGTCGCGGTCGTGGTCGTGGTCGTTGTCGTGAACGTGGTCGTGTTCGTCGTCGTCGTCGTCGTCGTCGTCGTCGTCGTCGTCGTCGTCGTCGTCGTTGCCAGCGGCGGCGTCGGCGTGGTCGTCGTCGTCGTCCTTAACGTCGTCGCCGTAAAGTCATTGCCGTCGTGGTATTCGACGATGTCGTCGTCGCCATCATCGTATGCGTCGTCCCCGACGTCGTAATCGTAGGTGTTCGTACGTAGTCGTCCTCGTTGGCGTAGCTGTCGTCGTGGTCGTGGTCATGTCCGTGGTGGTGGTGGTGGTGGTGGTGGCGGCGGCGGTGGTCGGTGTCGTGGGGGGGGGAGGAGAAGGCCAGAGGAGGACGAGCAGGGGGAGGAATGAAAGGAGGGAGCACCGATGAGCAAGGAGTAAGATGTGGAGGGAGGAAGACGACGATGAGGGAGGAGGAGGCGGAGGAGGGAGGAAGAGAAGGACAAGGAAAGATAACGAAGGAGAACACATGGGTGGACGATGATGATGATGATGATGATGATGCTGATGCTGATGCTGATGATGATTGTGATGATGATGATGATGATGATGCTGATGATGATGATGATGATGATGATAGTGATAATCAGGATGGTGATAATCAGGATGGTGATGATGATGATGATGATGGGGATGAGGATGATGATGATGCTGTTGGTGATGTTGATGATGCTGCTGGGATGAGGAGACGGAGGAGGAGTAGGAGGAGGAGGAGGAGGAGCAAGCGGAGGAACAGGAGGAGGAGAAGGAGGGTGAGCAGGACCCCGTGGGAGAGACAGCGAGCCACCGAACATATCTAAAGACTTCATGATGCTATACTTGTCCAGCCTTCCTTCCCCTTCCCTCCCCTACCCATTTCCCTCCCTCCCCCTCGGCTCCCCCACACCGCCACCCCAAACCACTTTTCCCTGAGCGCGTTCTGACACAGACTCGAATCGGATCCCATCGTAGCGTGCACGGGAAGCCCCCATTAGGCGAAGCAAGGGACGGAGGAGGAGGAGGAGGAGGAGGTTGAGGAGGATGAGGTTGAGGAGGCGGAGGAGGAGAACCAATACCCTCCCTCCAAGCTCCTTCTCCATAGGCCCCATACAAGGATTGATTTCAACTGAGGGGAGTGCCCGTTGGGGGACAAGCGTCTGAAGATCCTGCAACGTGCCAGTACAACACTATCGGGAGTCCAACGCCACGAATCAACCTGTCTGTTGCCTGTTGCGTCGTGGCGACCCTCAATCACCGCTCTCCGCCGTCTGTCCGCCTGCGCTTCCCTCTCCCCTCCCCATCTCCCTTACTGGGCCCCGCCCTTTCTGGGGTGCAGGCCCGGGCCGCTCCTTCATGGACCGCCCCTCGGCCGCCGCCGTTTACGGCGCGCCGCCCGGCTCCGCCGGCCCTCTGGCCTGCCACTTTTTGCGGCTCCGTCGACTTCAGCTTGCTCCCCACCGTCGCTCCTTGCGACGCAACGCGACGCCCGATCGGCCCAGGGCCGGTCCTGATACAGATCACGGGGATAAACATGCACGGCGGCAACTCCTCTGTAATGTCACAAGGGAAAGTCCAGTCCTTGACGCACTTCTCTTTCGCTCCAAACTGGCTTACTCGCTCTCCGCCTTCTGGGTGCTGGTTGGCTTATGTCACCTTCCACCCTCCGTAGTTACTCTTATACATCGCCCCTCCCAGACCCCCGACGTCATGATTTTTCCATAACGTCGATTTTCAGCGGTCTGGACCCATTCCCAGGGACTGGTTCTTCGTCCCGAGCCGTTTTTTGACGGTCCCGAGGCCGAGTGAGGGCCCCCAGAGACCCCAGATAGCGAAACACGTCCCGTCGTCATTTCTTCATGACTCGAGGGGGTCTGGGTTCCCTGCCATCCAGGCCCTTGTGGCTATGGCTGCTGCCGGCCGCGAAACCTCCCGCGGCCTCCGAGAGATCGGCCGGGAGGGGACGCGCGCGCCCCGCTGCGTGCGCTCGACTCTCTCTGCGCCCCGCCGCCGCGCGCGGGGCCGCGGCGCCAGACATCGGGTGTGCGTGGGTGGCGCCCTCCAGGGCAGGAGGAGGAGGAGGAGGAGGAGGAAAAGGAGGAAGAGAAGGAAGAGGAGGAGGAAGAGGAGGAGGAGGAGAGCATGCCGAAGGAGGAGGAGGAGGAGGAGGAGGAGGAGGAGGAGGAGGAGGAGAAGGACAGTGCAGCCCCTCCCCCCTGGATCAGGGGCGGCCAACATGGGAGCGTCCAAGAGGGGGGCATGGGCGCAAGTCGTGGCGGTCGGCACGTGCGCGGCCCAAGGGGGGGGGGCAGGCACGTGCTGAAACGATGAGTGGCGCCGTGAAGTCTGAGGGCCCACGCCATGATATCCCCCCCCTTACTTAGTCATCCAACTGTTCCAATCTGTTCGATGCGCGGTCCCCTGAGGTCCGGACCACTTCCCTAGGGCCAGTCTTTCGCCCCGAGTCGGTTTTGGACGCTCCCGAGGCCAGTGAGGGCCCCCAGAGGCCGGAAGCGGCCAGAAACCGCCCGCTCCAATTTTGCTGGAACGTCCGATCTCTGGGACCCCCCCTCCCCAGACCCCCGACGTCATGATCTTTTCACAACGCCGACCCTCAGAGGTCTCGACCTCTTCTCCTGGGCCGGCTTTGCGCCCTGAGCCGTTCTGCTGACGGCCCCGAGGGCCAGTGAGGGCCTCCAGAGGCCGAGAATGAAGAGGAACCTCCCGTTGCGATCTCTCCCTTGCCCGAGGGAGTCTGTAGGCCGACTGGAAGCCACCCCCCCCGGTCGGCGGCACCCCCCCGGCGGCCGGTGGGCGCGGCGCCCGGGGGCCTCCAGCAGCCGGGCGGCCTCGGCGGCCTCCGCGCTCCCGCGGCGCGGGGGCGCGGCGGCCTCCGCGGGCGCCGCGCGCGCGGGCGCGCCCGCGCAGGGGAGCGACATCCGGACACGTCCACTGCCCCAGGCCTGGCCCTTGCGGGGCCCAGGAGCGGTGCATTGTACGGTCGGACTTCATTGGACAGGACACGCGGGAGGACAAAAGACCCTTCCGGGGGCCACATTGCCATAGGAATGCAGGAGGCACGGGTCGCGAGACACAGGACAGAAAGGTACTCTTGATCTGGCAGGGTCGACCTACTAATCCAGGCCGCCTGTATGCATCCCTGGCCAAGCCATGAGGGCGTATACGTCGCTCCTCGGCCCAGGACGGCCCAGGTCTGGGCAGTGGACATGTATGGATCCCGTCGCCCTGCCGCGGCGGCGGGCGGCGACGGTGGCGTTGGCGGCGAGGCCGGCGGCGGTGGCGCTGGGGTTAGGTCGAGCGTGTCTTCCTAGAGGCGGATCCTGCATGAAAAACTCAAAAAGTAATTCAAACATTCTCAAGAATAGCCCCAAACGGTAGATAAGTCGTCCCCCAAATATGTTTTGAATGTTCCTCCTGCAGAGGGACATGCCCGACGTAACGCTGGGGCTCAAGTCGCGGATTCAAGACCGACGGCGACGACGGCGGCGGCGTCGTCGACGATGGCGAGGGAGGAGGGTAGATCGCATGGCGAAGTTTGGACCTTTTTGGGCAACTTTTTCATGCAGACTGGAGCGACGGGGGCTCGGCCAGTGGGGGAACGGTGCGAGGTGCAATAGCTCGCTTGCGCGAAAAATGGCGCGAACTATTACTGGGGGGGCACGAAATATTGCAGTGAGCGTGAACTATTGCGTTCGAAAGAATACACGACTGCATCCACGCGAAACTATCTGTTGCGCCAAGACCGCAAACTTTCGCACCCATGCGACCATTACTGCAGCTAGTATTGCAACTACTCTGGCCCCCCATCTGCGCTACCCCCCACTACTCCGCCTTAGATCATAGCCTGGTGGGGGTGATTCGTCGCCATGGCTAAATTTGCCTCGAGATTTGGGTCAAATGTGCTCCGAGAAAGATCAAGACGGAGCCGCGATCAGGGCGGCACCGACGACGTCGACGACGACGCGGGGGAGAATCATGAGGCTGAAAACATGTTCGGAGGTGCGCGACGGCTGGGATATTCAGCTGGCTTTCCTTGGGGAGGCGGCCGATGATCTGATGCCGTTGAGGCAACTTCCTAATTTGCAGCAGGGGGTCGTGGAGTTAGGTCGGGCATGTCCTCCTACAGGCGGCTTTTGGAAGACAAATAAAAATACTCCACAATTGGACAAACATAGCCCCCCCAAAATGAAAAAAATCGTCTCCCGACTATTTCCCCAATCAGTGCTTGCACTGAAGGGGTCCTGGCGGCTCTTGAAGGATCTGGCGAAAATGGGCGGCCGATTTTGGTGGGCAGCCGGTTTCCCGGGTTCCCGGCTCTGGGTTCCCGGGTTCCTGGTTGCTGGTTTTAGGCTGATTTCAATAGGCGGCGGGGTTCCCGGGTTTCTGGGTTCCTGGGATCCTGGTCGATCTCCTTATCGATAGGTCTCACCATTGATCTCACCCCATTTCTCTATCGATATCACTAAGTTGCTCAAAATCGATCTCTCACTGCAACGACTTCACTATCGGTCTCACGACCGACCTTACAATCGTTCTCACTCTCGATCTCACAATTCATACTGCTAACTTTCAAACTATCCACTGGTTGGGGCTTTCCTCTGGTGTCATTTGTCCTGATTATTTGTGAAACTTCCGCTTGTACAAGGACATGCCTGACTTACTCATGGGCATTTCGGACATATCGCCACGGGTAATCCGAAAGCTGGCGGCGACACCCGCCGAACACCTCCGTCTCCCAGTCGCCCCTCCACGACCTCGGTCCCCGGGGCCTCTGACGAGCCGCGCATCTCGACGTGGATCTCTCGGGGTGAACCCCGGTGGCGACGAGGACCCCTGCGGAAGCCCAAAGTGGGCAGAGGGATTTCGCCACGTGGTGCGAAGCTCCCTTCCCCACCGAATCCCCCTCCCATCCCTCCTCTTTACATCCTCCTCCTCCTCCTCCTCCGATTCGCATCACGTGACGGATCCAAGCCGCCGAAAAAGGAGGGGGATGCCGACATGGACTAGGGATCCGTGGATCTGCCGAGGTGGCGCCACGGATCCGTGGCTCGGGGAGGGCCCCCCCCTCCCCGAGACGTGCCACCAGTGCCGCCCCGACCCGGCGACGGGGCGCGCCGCTTCTGCGTATGGAAACGGGGCCCGTCGCCAGCCCACGCGCTCCCGAATCCGTGTTGGCGCTTCCTCGGCAGGAGAGGGGGGAGGGGGGCGGGGAGCACCCTCGGAGTTATGCTTTCTCCTCCTCCACCTGCTGCTCCCCCTGTCCCCGCAGTGTCGCTGCGGTCCACCTCCTCTTTCCTCCTCCTCCTCCTCCTTCCCCTCCTCGTCAGCGTCTTCCCTGCTCCGTCCCGTCCCTTCCTCTTCCCCTTGCCCTTCCCCTTCCACTCGCCCTTCCCCTTGCCCTTCCCCTTCCTTTTCCCCATCCCCCTCCATCTCCCTTTCCCCCTCCCCTCCTGCGGGGAGGCATGACGCGACCAGTGACCAGCACGAGGCATGGAGGAGCAACCCTCTGAGCGTAGGCTTGGCGTTCCAACCCTTCCAAACCATCTTCTCCCCCGTGGGGGGGGGTACCCGCATGCAAGACGAATCCCAACCGACGTAGACGGCATACAAACTAACGGTACGAAAATCAACCAACGCATGGAAACACAATGATCCGCCACCGTGCCTCCTGGCACGTTGAGGCGTGCCGGAATGCTAAGTACTGTCTTGCCTTCTAGGGCCCACCCCCTCTTCTACCAGCGCTGGCCTCCTTGCAACATGCGACATATTCGCACCCTCGAGGTTGCACTCCAATACAGCACGCTCGCGCCCCCGAGACAACACACGGCCCCAAGACGGCCCAAGAGAGTCCCAAGACGGCCTACGAGGAGGGGCCCAAATGGGCCCTAAGGGACCTGCAAGTCTGCCTCACAGGATGCCAAGACAGCCACAGGACGGCAAAACGAGTTCCATGACAACTCCTACACTGATGAAAACGAAAGGTGTCACGTGCGACGGCCTTCCTTGTCCTCCTCCTCCTCCTGCTCCTTCTCCTCCTCATCATCACTACCACGGCTCTCCCAAGCCTGGAGACAATTATCACCCTGAATGCTGGGCTGGCACGGTGGCGGGACTTGCCGCAGGCAGCTGGATACCAATCCCAATCGACCTAATTTATCAATGCGATTACACGTGAGCGTTTCAAAAGAATCAGCCTGGCGAAGGACCCAACCATATGAGTTGTGAATAACGCAAATGTGAGCATCGTCGTCTGTGGAGCTCCGTCTGGGGCCACGAGATAGATGTGTGAGGGGTGTGTGTGCGAAATGGGTGCGGGTGGATGCATGCGAGGAGGCCTTCGGTGGAGCTCCCGCCGAAATGGGTGCGGGGACCGAGTGCGAGCACTACCACTGAGGCCTTCGGTGAAACTCCCTATGGGGCCACGAAACCTGAAGGGTGTGCCGAAATGAGCGCGGGGAGCGCGTGCGAGCAGTGCAACTCGGACCTTCGATGGAGCTCCCTATCAAGCCACCAAGCGTGTGAGGGGTTCCGACATGGGTGCGGGGACCGCGTGCGAGCACAGCCACTAGGGCATTCGGTGGAGCTCCCCATGGGGCCAGTAACCCTGCGAGGGGGCTGCCGAAATGGGTAAAGAGACCGCATGCGACCATCGGTGGAGCTCCCTATCAGGCCACGAAGCGTGTGAGATGTGCCGAAATGGGTGCGGGGATCGCAGCGAGCACTGCCACTAGGGCTCGGTGGAACTCCCTATGGCGCCACGAAACGTGTGAGGGGTGTCCCCGAACGAGCGCGGGGACCGCATGCGAGCACTGCCACTGGGAACTCCGGTGGAGCTCCCTATCAGGCAACGAAGCGTGTGAGGGGTGTGCCGAAACAGGGACATGCGGAGGGCAGAGTCAGGGATGGGAGGAGGGGGTAACGAGGAGGCAGGGCGAGCAGGAGGAGGTGGAGGAGGAATGACGCGTGGAGCTGTGTCTTCAAAACGAGGACCCAGGCACCACAGGATGGTTGGGAAATAACAGGGTGGAATAACATGAACGGTATTCGTAGTTGCGGTTATGACGCCGGGTTGTGCTACTAAGCGTAGCGCGGTGCAGTGCAAATCAATAGAACCACGATGTGCACTGCGACTCGATGCTCTGCAACAACTGTGGAGCCCAACCGCCAATCAACCCGACGATCCACATCACTAAACGCGCATCCAACAACGACGCAAAAGAACTGCAACGACAAGGCGGCAACACTGGAGCGCAATGCAAGCACACAACCAAACCAACGCGACAGCAACGCAACACGCAACCAACTCAAAAATGACCGCACAAGCAAGCAGAAGGAACCTATCCTCTGAGAGCCCCCCAACGGACGACGCATACTTTCAATTGCCATATGTTTTCGAAAGACGACGACGTGCCCCTTTCCAAGGACTCCTCAATTCGCCGGCCCAACCGGCCAACGGCGTGGTCGAATCTCTGCTAAAAACTTGACCTTATTGCTTGTTCGCGCGCGCAGAGTTGTCACCAGACGAAAAATATCCAGGCCTACTTCGGTCACGGATGCTGGAGCTCACGGTGGCGGCCTTCCAGCCCTCAAGATCGCCCACATGGAGCTCCAACAGGGCCCAAGAGTTGAGAGGAATGGGTGGAACGCCCCAAGATGGCCCGAAGGCGACCTCCATAATGCCTCAGGATCCCAGACAACCCTAGACATGAAATTTCAATGGTTTTCTTATAGGTCTGGAAAGGATTTTTGCGTCATCGCCTTTTGAAACTTACGATCGCCACAGACGGCCCAAGAGGCCTCAATGCCCGCCAAGACAACCCAGTAGGCTCCCAAGACGACCAGAAAAGGAACAACATGATTGACTCACGACACGGACAAGCATATAAACATGTATGAGGCATGGAAGCGTTTTCAAGACACCTGACTGGGCAACGTGCAATCGCATTGCTGAAGACATCGATGGTTATGTTATGTACTGTGCCAAGGGCTATGCTGTGCTGTGCCGTGCTGAATTGACGTGTATCATGCTGCGTCACGTTGAGCTGCGCCCTTCGAGAAGGTGGGGCTCTGCATCGGGGGCGTCCAAGAGTGGAGTTCGCAAATCGTAGCCCGATGCACGTGCTCGGACCAGGGGGGCCAAGAAACGTCTTGAAACAAGAAGGGGGGCCGTGAACTCTGAGGAGACATCATGGCCCTGGCCATGGTATCTCTCCCCTAATCATCACCCCCCTCTTGGACGCCCCCGACTGCAGGGAGGGTGATCAGCAGTGCAGGTACCCCTCATCCTTTGGGAGGGAATCTAATTTAGGAGGGCCAGAAACATCAGGGATGAGGGAGTCTTTTTTTTGCAGATGTCTCAGGCGGTAAAAACCGAGGACCTACGTCAGGCCACGAATTCTTTGTCATTCATGCGGGATGACGATGAATTAAAAATTGGGGGGAACGGTTAAAACATTAGTTTCTTTGATTTCTATACCTATGATTTGTCCAACGGGAGGAGGACGATTAAAACAAGATGTTTAATGCACGTCGGCTTCGAATATTGGTCGAATACCCATTGCACGTCGTCGGCAACTTTTACGTTAAATAATCATTCGACGCCGACTTCAAATTTTACGTCAGATACAAATTCTACGTCGCCTTCAAACTTTTACGTTACTTCAAACTTGTCTATCCTGCTGCTGTTGCCCCCGCTCCTTTCTCCTTGACCTCCTCCCTCCTAACCCTCCGCTTCGGATCCGTCTGGCCCGTCGGCTGTCCGGGCGCGTGCCCGAGGACGGCAAGGGGGGAACGATTGAAAACATACTTTCCCAGCCCGCGGCCGGTTTTCTCTAATCATCCTCTGGGGCGCCGCCGGCGCAACACGACCCCCGGTCGTTTATTAATCGTCATCCCACATTAGGATTACCCATCTGTTGGAAGAAGTAGTTAGAAGCATCGATCCTTGAAGTAGGAAGGCGCTTAGAGTAGATTGGAATCTGGGAATCCCAAAAGTACGTACTTTCAATGGCCGATGGGCAAGGGCAAAAGCCGAGGACCTAAGTCAGGCCACGAACTCATAGTGTTATTGGGGTTAGGGGTTGCATGTCTCGACGATCCTCAATGTGTGTGTGTGTGTTAGCGCCACCGTGTGCTTGTCCATCGAGGCCATTCGAAACGACGCAGGCGACGTCGTGAGCTACCGGTGGGGCTGAACGGGGTAGACACGCACTGGGCTGGCACACGTCCCGAGGGGCAACGATAGGGGGGGATGGGTATAGGGGGCGATGCATCGATCTGGAATCGGCGATACATCGTCGATAGACCGGCGATAGTGAATCCGCACCTTCCTGGGCGGGGTGGTGCTATCGGGTCTCTATCGGCGATCAATGGGCGATTGGGGGTCGATGCATCCCCCCTATGCCTATCCCCCCCTATCGTTGCCCCCGACGTCCCGAGGACCACCGAAGGTTGCCTGACGGGGCGAAGCGGGGGGGCGCCGCCTCAAGCCTCTTCGCCAGCGCCCTGCGGCTCTCCGCGATGCGCCCGACGTCCATCAGCCGGTCGGCGGCCTCGTCGGTGCGCCCGCCGCAAGGGGCTGGGAGGGAAAGGGGGGTGCGTGCGTGCGCGAGCGCGTGTGCGTGTGCGTGCGCGTGCGCGTGCGTGCGTGCGCGTGTGCGTGCGCGTGCGCGTGCGTGCGTGTGCGTGCGCGTGCGCGTGCGCGCGTGCGCGTGTGCGTGTGCGTGCGCGTGAGCGTGTGTGCCGGTGGTGCGGCGCGCCAGCGCCAGACACCGACCACTTGCTGCGGACTTGAACGGGACTGCAGGGCAGGCCCAGGCGCAGGCCGCGAGACCCGCTTCAGAGGCAGCTCGCCTGGCCCACGGGCGAGAGACGCCGCGCAGACAGGGACAGGCGCGTGCTCGAGTGGGCGATCCATGTCGGGGACGTGTTGCTGAAGGACAGGTGCGCAGTGCCCCGTGCCGGCGAGGACGAGGAAGGAGGGGGAGGAGGAGGCGACGGCGAGACCAGTGGCCGACAGGAAGGGCGCCGAGACGCGGGTGACCGCGGCACAGGCGCAGCGCGGCTGCGACCGCGAGGAGGAGGGACGCAGGAGAGGGAGAGGAGGGAAGGGCGCTCTCTGCAGAAGCCAGAAGGAAGGTCAGGAGGGGGGAGGACGCCCCGCCGCAGAAGCCGGGAGGAAGAAGAGGGAAGGGCGCCCGCTGCCAAACGCAGGAGGGACGCCAGGGAGGTAGGAGGAAGAGTGCCCGCTGCCTAAGGCAGACGGGCGGCAAGGAAGGTAAAGCAACTGCTGCACAACACAGGAGGGCCGCAAGGAAGGGAAAGCACCTGATGCAGAAGACCGAAGGGAAGGCACCTACTACTTCCACAGCCGGGTCATCTCGACGGCCCTGTTGTTTCACCGCTCCCCCCGTGTGGGGCTCGGCAAGTTTCAGAGCTCAGCTCGGTGCTCGGCCCGGGGAGGGAGCGATGGAGTGAGGGCCATCCCTCCTCCGACTCCATTGCCCCGCCTCCTCCTCCTCCTCCTCCTCCTCCTCCTCTTCCTCCTCCTCCACTTCCTCCTCCTCCTCCTCCACTTCCTCCTCCTCCTCCCGCCCTCCTTTCCTCCCTCCCTCTTTCTCCTCGTCCCTCCCTTCATTTTGACTACTTAAACATCGGCGGCCCAACGGGCCAGAAGCGTGCTCAAATCCCCGTAACAGGCTCCGCTTTTTCCAATTCGCGCGCTGGGCGGCCCCTGGAATCCCATCACGAAACATGGTCGACCCACGGATACGGAAAGGGATTCAGAACAGCGATGCTTGGGTACGCTTCCAAGCACTCAATTGGACGATAGGCAGTGGCAATGCTGAAGATATCAATGGTACAGGGGCTGTGTTGTGTTTCTCTGTGCCAAGGGGACGCGCCATGGCACGCGCAACGGGGACGCGCCACGGAACGTGCCAGCGGACGTGCCAGGGGACGTGCCAGGGGACGCGCCGCGCGACGTGCCCAGGGGAGGCGCAAGGGAACGTGCCAGGGAACGTGCGCGTGGGTCACGATCCCTTGCAAAATACGTTGCGTCCGCGCTCCCAGGGCCACGATCCCCCGCTGTCCCGCAAGTTGCACGGGATTCGCGCTCCCAGGGCCGCTTTCCTCTGCAAATTATGCGGGAGTCACGCTCCCAGAGCCACGAGTACATTACGCTGGATTCGCGCTACCAGGGACAAGATCTAGAGGCCTCTTAGATGGGGTCGGAGTAGATGGGGTCGGAGGATCGCGCCACATCGCCAATGCATCGGCGATGCATCGTCGATGTCGGCGACGCATCGGTGCTCCCATGCACAAGATCGCTGGATTCGCGCTTCCCGCTTGTGCCTCCATGCCCTGGCATCCGGACCCCGTCCCACCAGCCCTGGCTTCACTGGCCGCACCCACCAAGGCTTATTCTCGTGTCGTGTCGTGCGGCGTCCCTGGCCCCGGGACCTCGCCCCCATGGCCTCCTCCTGCTCTGGTTTCCCGCTTGGCCTCCCTCTTGGCCCCCGTGCCCTGGCCGCGGGATCCAGTCCCACTGGCCCTGGCACCCCTGGCCGCTCCCCGTGCCGTAACTGCCAGTGCTCGCACTGCGCTCTTTCGACCTACCTTCGTGTCGTGGCGTTGTCCCTGGCCCCCCCACCCGGCTCTCCGGTGGCCTCCCTGCCCTGGCCCCTGGACCCCGCCCCCCCCCCTTAGCCCTGGCCTCCTCCTGCCCTGGCGTCCCTTGCCCTGCCCTGGCACTGCCCCGGTAGCCCCCCCAGAAGCCCTGGCCTCCTCTCCTGCCCTGGCCCTCCTGGCCTATGCCTCGTTTGGCCCCGCTGCATCGGCCTCGGGACTCCCTCCCGCCAGCTCTGGCCTCCCTGGCCTGCCTCTTGAGCAGGAGGAGGAGGAGGAGGAGGAGGAGGAGGAGGAGGAGGAGGAGGAAGAGGAGGAGGAGGAGGAGGAGGAGGAGGAGGAGGAGGAGTAGGAGGGAAGGAGGAGGAGGAGGAGGAGGAGGTGGAGGAGAAGGAGGAGGACTAGGAGGAGGAGGTCCTTCTTGGCTCCCTCCCCGTCCCACCAGCCCTAGCCTCCCCGGCCGCCCCCTCCCGGGCGCCGCGTCGTCGTCCCCCGGCCGCCCTGCCCATGGCCTCCCTGGTGGCTCCCCTGCCCCCAGCCCTGGCTGGCCTCCTCCCGCCCTTGCCTCCCTCTTGGCCTCCCTGCCCTGACCTCGGGACCCCGTCGCACCAGCTCCGGCCTCTCCCTGGCCGCCCCCCCCCTCCAGGGCTTACGTTCGTGTCGTGTCATCGTCCTGCCCCCCTCTGCCCTGGCCTGGTCTCCCTGGCGGCCTCCGTGTGGTGGCCCCCTGCCCCGACCTCCCTGGCCTCCCTGCCCCTCTGGCCTCCCCCGTTCCCCCCAGGGCTTCCCTGATCAGTGGACGCTGGAAATTTCCAGCCTCGACCGACAAGATCGGTCGCTACCGGTTTTGCTTCACACTTCGGTAGCGGTCGCGACCGACCTGCTTCAACATCGGTCGCGACCGATCGGTCGCGACCGATCGGCCGCGATCGGTGGCGACCGGCCGCGACCGATTTGGAGTGCCGATCGGTCGCTACCGCTCGCGACCGAAACAAAAACATCGGTATCTAGTGTTAAGTCGGGCCTGTCCCTCTACAGGGGGAATATTCAAAAATAGTAAAAACAAATAGTCTGGGGACTATGTTTTGAGTATTTGTGACAAGTTTGGAAATTTGTTTGAGTACTTTCTATTTTTCGTCGAAAATCCCCCTGTAGGGGGACACGCCCGACTTGAATCTAGTGGTCTGTGTTCGGATTGCTTTGCATTCTCGTGTCGTCGTCGCGTCGGCGTGGCCTCCCCTGGCCTTGCCCGTCCCCCTCCCCTGCCCTGGCCTCCCCGGCCTCTCCCTCCCGGCCCCTCTGGCGGCTACACGCAGGAGTGACCCTGGATAAGAGTGACCTTTGATGCGCGGCTTTTGGGGGGCCGCGGGGGGGACAAACCCAAGCGCGCAAGACGCCACTGTCGCATCGCATTCGGCGACCGGAAGACCCCATTGGGCCCGCACCAAAGATCACTCCGGCGGAAGGTCACTCTTACGTCTAGTCGACTCTGGCCTCCCCCGCCCCCCCCGGGGCTTAGGATTGCTGCATTGTCGTGTCGTCGTCGCGTCGTCCTGGCATCCCCTGGCCCCTCCGGTCTCCCTGGTGGCCTCCCTCTGCCCGTGGATCCCGACTGCACGTTGGTCGACGAGGGCTGCAATTCGTCGCTTCCTCGTCATGTTCGCTCGCTGGCGTGTCGCAGCACTCGCGCACTTCCCCAACGCCAGCACAGCCTGGCGCCATCACCATCCCACACTGTTCCGCATCTCTCATCGCATGATCCTTGCCACGCGTGTCTCTTGTTATTTCTTACGGACTCTGCACAAGAACCCTCAGCACCGACTTTTCCACTACGGAGAACACGGGTCTGCGGACCGCGATATGTATCGAGGATCCGAGATGGGGTGGCGCACTTTCCTCGAGAGGGCAGGCGCGAAACGAACTTGTTGCTACACAACATGCGACTTCACCTCGGATTGCATCGGGCGGAAATTCGCCGGCCCTCTTCAAGCATGGCGCCAAAGACATATTTACCACACATGATGAGAAACCTGGGCCCCTTCCCTTGCCGGGAGAATACCCCAAGCGATCCTCGGGCGGTCCCTGGGAGGTACCCAGACAGGTCCCGGGCGGGTCCTGTGCAGTCGGTGTCACGGCTGCCGGACTTCCCAGGGGCGGTCTTCAGGGCCCCCAAGAGGAGCTCCAAAAGGTAATTCGAGTCGGGATCCGTGGCTGGCAGGTTCCACGACGGCCTCCGTACACTCCCCACAGGCTTCAACATAGCATTAAAATTATCAAACACAGCTCCAAGAGTCCCCCATTTTGCCAAAATTAATTGATTTTGCTTAGGCGTTTGACTGATTTTGGTGCTGCCGCCTCTTCAGTCTTCCGACCGCCCACGACGGCTCATTCAGCCCCCATCATGGCCAGAATTCAAACGATGAGGCTCCCACCACAGCCACAAGACGGCCTAAGAGGGCCCAAAGACGGCCTCAGAGGCCTCCGAACCTCCCAAGAGGGTCCGAACAGTGGGGATCCGAACTTAAATTTCAAACCCTTTCGACACGTGGCCCTCCAGACCGCCAGAAAGCCCCCACGAGGGCCCCAGGAAACTTCTGCGAGGCCCCCTGGAGGCCCCCGAGAGGCCCACAGACACGCCTAAGATACCCCAAGAGCCTCCCAGGAGGCTCCCAGAGGCCTCAAAATGCCTCCCCGCGAACGCAGGCAAGCGCCAGCGACGAAGACGATCCTTCAACACAGCCCCAAAGACGCCCTTCAGCAGAGGGTGGCCTTCGAGACTGCCCGGTGGTCCCCAAGAAGCCTCCAGAGGCCCCCGGGACCACCCCCCCCAAAAAAGGCTCCAAAATGCCCCCAATGAGGCCCCACGGTGCCCCCCAAAGCCTCCGCGAGCACGCGTGCAAGTACCAGCGATGCTACCAGGTGGGCCTGCGGAATGAGCATAGCGACTGACAACAGTGGCTCGAGCGCACCACTTCGGCTTGCACTCAACCAGCCCCCGCGCCTTCACATGATCCTTGTGGTCTGCCACGCCTCCCGCGCCTCAGTTGCACAGGCGCTCGTGGCAACGGAAGCAGCGACAATGTCGACTCGCCTCTGAGCACCTGCTCGGTGCGCCGCTATCGCTAGTAGGACGACGTGCGGGGCCAAGAGGGCGGCAAGCGCCGCAAGTGCGGACAGCATGCTCACATCTGAAGCTCAACGGCAATCATGGGAGGCTTGCAAACGGACACCATAACCAAAACAGGGGGGTGCGTCCACGGGAGTAGGACAATCCTAGAGTTTGGTGTTGGTGATAATCCTTCGGCCACCTAGAGGCCCGAATATTACCACCGTCACTGAGTTCGGGATTATCTTCCCTCGGTGCAGGTGCACCGCCGATGCTGGTGTCGGTGCCAACCTGTAGGACTCCGACATCAGCCGCACTCTGAAACCAAAGATATGGTACTCTGGCATGGCACCAACGAAACCAAGCGCGGCGGCAAGGGCGGCAAGAACACGGACAATGCCAATGCCCTGCTCACCATCGAGAGCCGTCAAGGGCTCCCAAGACAGCCCTTGACGCCCTCTTGGAGCGTTCTGGGGGCCGTCCAGGGGGCCCTTGGGGCTCTCTTGGGCCATCTTTGGGACACCATTTGAGGCCTCAGAAGCCCATCGGACGCGAAAATTGCGCAGGGACCGACCGTCCGGGCATTCCGATTGTCCTACCACGAAGTGTTCTTAGAACCCTAACATGTTCTAAGAACAGTTACAGTCTTCTGAGGACATAAACCGATGTGTCAAAAAAATACAGTCCCAACCAGAAATGTTCTAAGAACATTTCTTGGAAAACACAAAAAATTCTTAGAACATTGTTTGGTAGGGCTATAAGCAAGCCGGGACGCTTCGCCACTGCTTGAAAAAAGGCGTGACGGCAAAACACACGGAGTCAAAAGTTGTACACGCTTCTTGGAGGGTCTTCCAGGGCCGAGGGCCAGCAGGCGTTGCTCGAGGCTCCGGCAGCGCCCGCCCCTGCCGCCAGCCCCTCGGACGAGGCAATGCAAAGAACAGCAGCAGCAACAGGAGCGAGGCTCCCTCCTCCATGCTGCTCCTCTTTTTCCTCCTCCTCCTCCTCCTCCTCGTCCTCCTCCTCCTCCTCCCTGCTCCTCCTCCTCCTACTCCTCCTCTTTTTCCTCCTCCTCCTCATCCTCCTCCTCCCATGTTTTTTGACGTTGCACGGACACGGGCCAGAGAACGTTGCGTTGCCCCTCCTCCTCCTCCTCCTCCTCCTCGTCCTCGTCCTTCTCCTCCTCCTCATTTTCCCCTTCCTCCTCCTCCTCCTCCGCCTCCTCCACCTCCTCCTCCTCCCGCCCTCCGGGCCCGGGTCCCTCCTCCATGCCTCCCTAGACCCCCGACGCCACGATTTGTCCACACAACGTCGACCCCCACGAGGTCCCGACCCATTTCTGGGGACCGGCTCCTCCTACTCCCGAGCCGGCTGTTGGACGGCCCCGAGGCCCGGCAAGGGCCCGTGTGGAGGCCAAAAGTGGTGAAAAACGCCTTTCGTGTTTTTTGCTTCTCACGACTCGATGCGTTCTGGGTCCCTCCCCTCTCCAGTTTACTCGATACCGATGTTTTGTTTCCAGTCGCGAGCGGTAGTGACCGATCGGCACTCCAAATCAGTCGCGACCGATCGCGGCCGATCCCCAAATCGGTCGCGGCCGATCGCCACTGGTCGCGGCCGATCGGTCGCGACCCATGTCGAAAGCAGGTCGGTCGCGACCGCTACCGAAACGTGAAGCAGTCGGTAGCGACCGATCTCGCCGGTGGCGACTGGAAAATTCCAGCATCCAGTGATCAGGGTCCCCTCCCCTCCTCGGGCCGGGCGAAAGGGGGGGATAGCAAAAGGGGGGTTTGAGAATCAGCTCACGTAAAGCTGACTTCCCCAGCGCCTCCCGGCGCCGGGAGGCGCCCAGGTATCGAGGAATTGGCCCGGCGGCGGGGTCGAAACCAACTGCATGTAACAAATTTCGTAATTCCCCCTTTCTTGAGCAGGGACCAACCGTGACGGCATTCCTATAGTCTTACCACGAAGTGTTCTTAGAAGCCACAATCTCCGAAGAACAAAAACAAAGTTCCTAGGACATAAACCCGATGTGTAAAACCAAACAGACTCCGCGAGAAATGCTTTAAGAACATTTCGTGGAAACCACAAAACGTTCTTAGAACACTGTTTGCTGGGGTCATAGGCGAGCCAGGACGCTTCGCCACTGCTTGACTTTCCCAATACCCTTTCGTCCGGCCCGACCCCCCCTCCCCTCCCCTCCCCCCTCCCTCGCGGCGTAGCGGCGGGCGGGGCGCCACCGTGAGCACCCCGGCGCAGAGCTCCAGGCGCCGGTCCACGGCGTTCTGCAGCGCCATCTCCAGCAGCAGCACTGCGCCTCGCCACGGCCCGCAGCGGCGCGGCCCCGGGCGCGCAGGACGGGAGTGGAGGGCTGGACCTAAGCGTTGTTTTTCGCCTTGTTTTTCGTTTTGCTCTGCCTGCTTGCCTGCACCTCCCTCCCAAAGCGAGGAACGAGACACAGCCGAAGTCCGGCAAAGCAGCGTTCGGGTCAGGCCCTGCCGGAGGGGAGGGACGCAAGGGGGAGGCCCAGGCCTCGAGCCGGAGGTCGACATGCAGAATGGATTGCACTGATAAAGGAATCCCCATCGAAGCTATGAGAAGCGCGCAGGATGTTCGTAGGTCTGGACCAATTCTCTGCGTGGTCGTGGGCCTCGACGAGCATTTCAAGTTTTGGGTAGATCAGTTCTCTAGTCGATCTCCTACTCGAAAAGCGGTGCGGAGACAGACCGTGCGGTGACCCAGAATCCCCACTGACTAGAGAACTCCCAAGTGGGGCCCGAGTAGGTTGGGTCGGAGGAGCGCGCCGCATCGCCGTGTATCGGCGATGCATCGGCGACACCGGCGATGCATCGCCGCCGTCAGCGTGGAGAAACACGGGCTCCACGTCTAGCCACATCGCCGATGCATCGGCGATGTGGCGCGATCCTCCGACCCAACCTACTCTATTCGGATCCTGTCTGGGAGGCCTAGACTGACTTACCACACGGTGTCGTCACCACACAGTCTTGTCGAGGCTTGAGGCTTTTGTGTATTATTTGCCCTTTTTGGGGCCTCTGGGAGGCTTCTCGTCGACAATGCCGGATCAATCTCGAGATTCTCCTGCACCTAAGCGCATACAAGGACAGGTCCGGTGACCGTATTCCGAGGGGAGCGGATCGAGGAGTACTGTGGGAGGAGCGGGAACAGTGAAAGGACCTGAATCAATGCAGGATGCGCCAACGATGCTGCAACGCACCCTTCTGTCCCACGCCCCCGCCTCATATTTTGAGCAGGGACCAGCCGTCCTGGCATTCCTATAGGCCTACCACGACATGTCCTTAGAACCCCAAAATGTTCGAATAACAGAAATATCAGCCAGCGTTGCCTCCAAATAGATAGGAGGACAGGAGGAGGAGGAGGAGAGGAGGATGGGAGGAGGACGAAAGGAGGATGGGAGCAGAACGGGAGGAGGACAGGAGGTTCAAAATCAAGCAAGCGCAAGCAAGCAAGCGGAAGCAAGCAAGCGCAAGCGAGCAATAATAAGCAAGCAAGAGTCAACGATCAAGTGCAAGCAAGCGAGGGCAAGCAAGAGCAAGCAAGCGAGAGCAAGCAGGCAAGAGCAAGCAAGCACGTGCCATTGGAAAAGGGGGGGCATTGGAAAAAGGGGGGGGTGCTAGGAGCGCTCAGAGGTGGTGCATAGGCATAGGCATAGGCGTAGGCATAGGAGTTAAGGGGGAGGCATAGGCATAGGCATATGCGGCATTGGCATAGAGATAGGAATTAGGAAAGGGGGGCGTAGACATTAAGGGGGGGCAACGGGTTTGAGTTAGAACTTCTATAAGGGCAAGCCTATTTGGATAACAATGTTCTTATAACATAAATCCGATGTGCTAAAACAAACCAGTCTCAGCCAGAAATGCTTCAAATAGAATTCGAGCAGACCACAGACAGGTTCTTAGAACATTATTTGGTGGGCCTATAGGCGAGCCAGGACGCTTCGCCTCTGCTTGAATACTGCGATATTTGTCATTGCTGGAAAGGGCCCCTTGAGAGAAAGACGAGCGCCCCAGGGGTCTCCAGTGGAGGTATAAGGGGCCACACGTTGAGCAAGCTCTGCTCCCACCCTTCGAGCACGGAGAGATGCAAACGTGTACATTCGTGTCAGAAATGAACCTGGTGACATGCTCGAGGACACCCAGACATCTCCTCAGAAGTTCCAATGTAATCACGGGGCTTCCAAACTGAGTGTGTCAGTTCTACGGTTCTCAACTTCTTGCAGAAAGCCTGAGAAATCCTCAACGAAGACCACATTTTGAAACGATGCCGCCCTGGTCCGTGTAACTGCTTGAGAATTGGGGCACGATTGCGCACGGCGCCAAAGCGAGAGACACGCAAACCACGGGCAGCCCTTCCTCCATGTAGTTCAATGTCCAGTGTCGGAAGCGTGTAGGACGAGCGTGCGCGGTGCCAATCGCGAGCGCCACACTTTGAAACTGGCACTCCTCTCGAGCGCGAAAGATACCCGTACCCTTACCCAGACGGGGTGGCAAGGGGCCCTCGGGGCATCACCCCCCCTGGGTCCGGGTCGGCTCCCGAAACCACCATACATACCCGTACCTAGACGGGGTGACCCAACCACCACCCCAGCTAGGTCCGGGTATGTATGGTTGTTTCGGGCACCGACCCGTACCCAGACGAGGTGGCGGCAAGGCCGAAAACGCTCTAGCGGGCGGCCCTTTTCACCCCAGCTGACCCCGGGTCCGGGTATGTTTTGGGCTAGTGAACTCCCTCGATGCGAGCAGCAACTGGAAGCTTGTCAGACGAATGTACGCGGCGCGGGAGGCGAGAGTCAAACTCTGCAAGCTGCCTGCCCTTGCCATCGCTCGGACGTCCATTCCCCGGTGCATTCGTCGGTTTCGTGCGTGTTCATGTTGCTCGATGATCCAGCATGCTCCTCGATGGCCCTCGCAAGGAGACAGAAATGCACACGTCCGAGCGATGCCAGATGCCCTCCGCCGATGTAACCGTCGGAACCTGAAACACACAACGATTGCGCACGGCGAGAAACGAGAGCCATACTCTGAGAACCATTCGCCGTCCACTCGTGCAGAGCTGCTGGAAGCCATTCGCCCTCCACCCAGACACAGAGCATATTTGCCCTGCGAGCCCAAGAACAAATTCCGGCCGCCGTGCGTTCTCTCGTGTTTTTCTTCGCAGCGTGGGTAGAGGTCGCCTGGGTGAGATCCGAGTAGATGAGGTCGGAGGAGTGCATCGGCGGTGCATCGGCTACCTCGGCGTGGAGAAAATCAGGCTCCTCATCGAGTCACATCGCCGACGCGTCGCCGATGCATTGGCGATGCGGCCCGATCCTCCGACCCCATCTACTCTTAGGTCGGGCATGCCATCCTACAAGCGGATTTTAGAAGAAGATGAAGAAAATAATAAAGCATACTGAACAATAAAGAAACCACACCAAAACATAATGAAACATGATCGACCCAGGAACCCAGAAAGGAATGTAGGAATGTAAAACATGGCAGCACTTCATAGACACCTGATTGGGCGACGGGCAAATGCAATGTTGAAAATATCGATATTGATGTACCGTGCCGAGGGCTGTGCTGTGCTGCGCCATGCTGAACTGCGATGTGCCATGCCGCGATTGTGCTCTATAGCGCTGTGGATCGAGTCCTCCTTTGCATCCGAGTCCTGACCGAACTGATATGGATCTCAAGCTCGAGCTGCCGCAGCACATAGTAGCTGCCCCAGAGCTAATTGCCAAGGGGACTTTTCATGAGGACGCGCCGCGGAACGTCCCAAGTGACGCGCCAGGCGACGCGCCAGGGGACGTGCCATGGGGACGCACCGCGGGACGTGCCAAGGGGACGCGCTACGGAACGTGCCAATGGACGTGCCAAGGGACGTGCCAGGGGACTCGTCGCGCAGCGTGCCAGGGGGACTCGCCACGGGACGCGCCACGGAACGTGCCAGGCTGCAATGCTGAGTGTATCGATCTTGATGTACCGTGCCCAAGGCTGTGCTGTGCTGCGCCGTGCTGAACTGCGATGTGCCATGTCGCGATTGTTCTCTATAACGTTGTGGATCGAGTCCTCCTCTGCGTCCAAGTCCTGACCGAACTGATATGGATCTCAAGCTCGAGCTGTCTGAGCATATAGTAGCTGGCCCAGAGCTAATTGACAGGGGGACATGCCAGGAGGACGCGCCGCGCAACGTCCCAAGGGACGCGCCAGGCGACGTGCCAGGGGACGTGCCGTGGGGACGCACCGCGGGACGTGCCAGGGGACGCGCCGCGCAACGTGCCAAGGGGACTCGCCACGGGACGCGCCACAGAACGTGCCAGACATCCTCAAGACCTGGGCATGTGAAAACTAGCATTTCACTTGAGAGATCCTCTGAATTCAGGTCCCCAGGGGAGGACAATCTAAACACAAAACAAGCGTTTCGCTTGAGACATCCTCACGCATTCTTCAGAACAAGCGTTTCGCTCGGGACAACCTCAAATTTTAATTAACTGGCCCTCTTCGACCTCGTCATTTTTGGCAAACGAAAATCGCGGGCACTCTTGCAACTTGGCACCAGGGGCAAATTTACCTAGTAAGAAAGAATCCTGGGCCTAAGCCCTTTCCGGGAACATGATCGACCCTCGAACCTGGAAAGGCACACAGAGATGCAGGGCATGGAGACGTTTCAAAGACACCTGATTGGGCGACGGGCAAATGCAATGCTGAGTGTATCGATCTTGATGTACCGTGCCCAGGGCTGTGCTGTGCTGCGCCGTGCTGAACTGCGATGTGCCATGCCGCGATTGTGCTCTATAACGTTTGGATCGAGTCCTCCTTTGCGTCCGAGTCCTGACCGAACTGATATGGATCTCAAGCTCGAGCTGCCTGAGCACATAGAAGCTGCCCCAGAGCTAATCGACAAGGGGACATGCTAGGAGGACGCGCCGCGGAACGTTCCAAGGGACGCGCCAGGCGACGTACCAGGGGACGTGCAATTGGGACGCACCGCGGGACGTGCCAGGGGACGCGCCGCGGGACGTGCCAGGGGGACTCGCCACGGGACGCGCCAGTGAACGTGCCAGGGAACTTGCCAAATTGCAATGCTGAATGTATCGATCTTGATGTACCGTGCTGAGGGCTGTGCTGTGCTGCGCCGTGCTGAATTGCGATGTGCCATGCCGCGATTGTGCTCTGTAGCGTTGTGGATCGAGTCCTCCTTTGCGTCCGAGTCCTGACCGAACTGATATGGATCTTTAGCTCGAGCTGCCGCAGCACGTAGTAGCTGCCCCAGAGGGGACATGCTAGGAAGACGCGC